TCTACTCTGCCTTCATCAAAGAATCCTTCTTCTCATGGTGGCTAAATCCACTAATTAAAGATCCATTTTGAGGATTCAACTCGGTTAACTTGTAAATGCCATTCCTAAACTATGGCTGAGATTACCTACCTAAGGAGAGAAATGTGGCTTCCAATTGAGGAGGTAAAGCAGGGAATCTGGAGAAGTTGAAAACAGGGGGACCTCAGGACCGCATGGGGACAGGGGTTGCATGGGAGGAAAGAAGAGGCAAGTGAGAGAAGAGCAGGAAGGAAGGTGGAAGAAGGCTAGAGACAAACCTGGCTGCTTTCAAACTTTGCAGACTGCCAGTTCTAAGTCTAAATGAATTTTAAAAGTATAAATAAATAAACTTTCCTACTCCTCTGCAGCCCTTTTTGGGATCAAGAACTGATGAATTGATATTTATTCATTCTCTTTGGTGGCTTTAGTTAAATGTGGGTGTTTTGTAGACTCAACTAAGAACTTAAACTCAATTAGGAGGAAGATGTATTTCCAATTCCAAAAGAAGGAATGTGTTAAATTAGGGGCTGCAATCCATTAGCAATTGGAAGATGCCTGAATATGCACATTAAAGCCATTTGCAGAAAGTGCATATGTGTATCACAGCCGAAATGCAGAGTCTCACTGCAAAGGGGCAAAATTTCATATCATTGAACTGATGACCCCAGGTATCCTCACTGAAATAACCAAACAAGCTCTGGAATAGGGGATAGCTCATGTTTCTTTTTTGCTTTTCCCATGATGACTTCCATAGCACTAGTCACATTGCAGTTCAGGATGTGATTTGTCTGCAGGAAGATTATAATGTACATTAAGTGCTTTGAAGCCTGACAAGGAAAAATCTTAACTGAGCACAATGTGAATCTTCTATAACACTAGATTCTATACTTATTATCTCATTGATTATTAGAAAATAAGGGAATTATTTCAGTATAATGTACCAATACTGTGTATTGGGTCGAAACCAATTTGATATTTTTCTGGTAAGGGAATTTACCCAGTGAAAGTAGAAGTGTAACCTTCAGCCAGAAAGAACTCTGAGCTCAGCTACTGAATAGGCAGGAGCCCATTGTTTCTATTTTAAGAAAATTAAAACTGAGCACCTGCATACAGAGATCCTTCCCTAGAGAGGTGCACTCATGCTAGGTTCTCAGCAGGTGCCAGGCCCTACTTCCTCCTGTGTCAACCTTAACACAGTCTTTTATATGCAGAGTTTCATTTTAGTCTTCGTGTTATCTGCATCACCAAGATAGCATCCCTCTCTGCTGCTCTAATGTATTTTCAATATTGCCTAAAGCAACTCTCAGCTAAAAAGCTTGGTCTCCCTGTGCTGTCCAAGCTACTTCCTGGGACTCCAAATATTTTTTAATTTGTAAAGCCTGATTACAAAGCTGCATAGGTTTCCAGTTGTCTGCCCCTAAGATTCATGTTTCCCACAAGCCCACATGCTTTTAGCACAGTTTTGCAGAATGCATATATTGTGATACAGCAGTTATGCCTGAATGACAACCCACATAAATATGATTAGCTTCAGTAATCATATTTATGTGGGTTGTCTAACTACTGCCCTTGCGTGATAGGATCAAGTGACAGTGCTGATGGCCCTTCTGATTGCAGGTGTCCCCGATGGGAGGAGACTAGTCAGCACCATTCCTGCAGACACAGCCTTCACTCCAGCAGTCACCCGCACACCTGCATACAACAGCTCTGCTGTCTTACCTGCACACACCTCCAACATCAGCACCACAGAGAACTCCTCAGGTTTGCCTATGATGTTGCAGGTGCTTTCGGCTACGGATAATGAAATAGAAACTGGAAACTGGAATGCATTTCTTGTATCACTCCAAATATTATTTGCAGGCTTTCTGATTTATAGAATTTTACATCTTGATACTAAATTAAGCACAAAAAACTTACCAGTAAGCTTTCTCTGGACATGTTTTTATTACTAAGATTATAAAGGTTTGTGGTGAAAAAGAATAGATAATGAATGGGCTTTCATGTCATCTAGCCCTGGTATCAAATTCAGCTTCTTCATTTTTCTAGCTGATTTTAGGACCAGTTGCTAGTATTTTCTGAATATTGATTCTCTCTTCTGTAAAAATGGATATAATAATACTCATTTCATGAGTTTGATATGAAAAACCGAATGTGCAAAAAAAGTCTGATATGCAATGGATATTACAAAAGGGTAACCAATCCCTTTAATATGGAAAATAAGGAGAGTTGTAATTGAAAGGAGAAAGAATCGTTTAAAGAGGATTACACGTCAGATAAGAATAAAACTAGAAGATGCATAATTTACTATCAACTTACATGATGTTTAGTTCAAATTACTTGAAATATTAATTATATAAAAGGGTTTTCATAGGAAATCTTTGGTTCATTTGATTATTTCAAAAATAAGCAAGTGTCTGTTCAAACAAGGATTCCTAGAGCAAACATTTGATCAGCACATTATCTTTGCTAAAGAGTTTTCCCCCTCACCCTTTAATAGGACAAACTCATTAACTTTTATTCTTCTGTTCATGTCCTTATAGGTTCTGACAATACAACTCCAGGAGCCACTCCATTGAGCACTGCCCCTCCAACCACAACAGAAGGTGACAACCGTCCTCTCAGTCATGCAGTTGTACTCTCACCACTACTGTGGATGTACTCACAGCCTGGTCTTCCATCTCTTTTTCCTGGGGCTGTTTTCTTTGCAATGTTCAACTTAGCATTCCACTCCTGAGAGCCATGGAATAACAGTTTAGTCCTGTATCCATTTGGCAGTGCAAGAACTGATGAGATCAGCATATAATCTTACTGTAATAGCCACCATACTGCAGTAATGCTCCCCACAAATTGTATGCTTTATGAAAACATATGAGAAATAACCATATCTATTAGAAATTCTTTCTCTAAGAGTGGGTTTAGGTATTAGTGTGGAAATGAATAATGCTGTCAGTAGAGCTCTCCTTTCTAAATGTTGGATAGGTAGCAGAGGATGGGTGGCAGTTTTGGTCAAGCAAAGTGCAGGCATGGGGGTCAATGGATAAGGCTTCTGGGGAATGCTCACAGCAATAGTGGTATCTGGATTGGCAAAAGCAGAGTCTGCAAGTCCACCATTCTCCCCCAAATTCTTCCAACTCTGAGAGAAGACCAGCAGAGATCTCTTACCATCCATGTATTGCATTTCTTCCCAACTCTTCAGTCAAATCATATGCTTACACAATATACTACTCAATTTGTTGAAAGAGAAATTTATTGTTCTCTTTGCAAAACCCTTTTTTTAAAAAAAGGAGCTTACAGAAGTTAAACTAAATAACAACACAGTCTTTAAGTATAATATGATTTTTAAAATCAAAGTATAAACTTCTCTCAATAAGCATTATAGCCATGAAAGTTAAGGTTTAGATTAGCAAAGGGGAAGAGGACCTTTAAAATATCTTTGGCAATGTGAGCATTTGACCATGTCATCATAATGCATTCAGATGTGTACCAAAGAGTCCTGGTATTTTTAAAAATACTTTTAGGTATAGATGGACACAATGCCTTTATTTTATTTACATATTTTCATGTGTGGAGGATAGAACCCAGTGCTCATTCATGCTAAGCAAGTGCTCCACTGCTGAGTCAGCCTTTAACCTTGTTTTTGTTGCAATTGTGTTTGGTGAATATTTTATAGAACTAGCTCATTACTTTCTAACATTTGGGGTTTGATATCAGAACATGGTACTAGGCAAACTCTCTATTGTATTAACATAACTAGATAGACTTTATAGTTCATGAAGTTAAAAAAACAAAAATATGAACTACTTTCCCCCCAAATGACTAGAGAAGCTAAAAAATTAAATTAAAAAAAATAATAATATCTTTTCTTTTCTTTTTTTATTACAGCTGCTACTACAACTGAAGTACCATCATGTGGTAAGTTTGTTTATTTAGAGGTAACCTTCATCAGTGTGGAATAGCACTTTAATTATTTTCTTCTTCATTCTAAGATTTCAAGAAGAACCCCCGGCTCTAATTTCACATGAATTGACTAGCCCCAGATCTTGAGAGCCAGGATTCCTCAGGGGCAAGATGGTTAGATTTCACATTCAGCCCTGGTTTTGAGATCCAGGATTGTAAAGTTGATAGAAAACTTTGATGAAGCCTCTTAATTATAGTTAGTTATTTGTAAAATGGAATGATAGCAAGTTAACTTTGGAATGGAGCAAAGATAATAATAAGTGATTAATACTTTCAAAACATATTAAGAAGGAAAGAAGAAAAACAAGTCCATTTCTGATTCCCTCATCTCTCTGCCTTGCCAGGCCAGGGGACAGCTCAGTACACACATATGGAACAGTATGTCCATTCTTCTCTCATTTTCTTCCTCTTGTCCCAGCAGAAGCAAAGTCTTCACAGTCAGGTTCATCCTTACATTTACTTCTAAATCTCAGCACTGAAGCCACCACCTTCAGTAGCTTTCTATAGGCTGATCTTTATACTAAGTGTATACATTTGTTTCATGAATTTCTTTAGGTAATGCAACCTTTTATGTTCAGGTTTCTGTGAAACTCTCCCCTGGTATCATCCTCTACTTACACTTTTCTCTTCAGTAAGACAAAACTGCTTTTGCAAACACACGGGCTCCTGCCTTTGTGTCTCCTCCTGCTCTTTCTCTATACATCCAGTCCCACTCCATCCATATTCTCTGGCCCCTGTATTTGGTATTCTATCTTCCATTCATATTTTAAAACACAAATAGAGTCATCTTTTTTTGGAAATCCTGCACTATCCCTCCAATATGAACAGTTGTCTCTCTCTTCGCTCACAGATTATTCTTGCATAATCTTATTACAGACCTTTGCTTATCTCCTGCAATTGAATCTGTGTTTATCTTCATATTCAACTCTACATTTCTAAAAGTTGATTATGTCTGACTTCCTTTTGTATTTCTAGAGTTTGTGATAGTATCCTAAGCATAACAAGAATTTTTGTGAAATAAAAATGAGTGAATAGATTGATATTTGTTAAAAAGATAGTTTTTACCAGTCAATAGGAATTGTTGACATTAAATTAAATAAAAGTGTTTAGGAGATGTTTGTTATTATAAAAAAAAATTCAGTCAAGGATTGAATGAGGGCCTATGGTCTATAAATAATTAACATTCCACATATTTGGAGAAACAGAATTTATAACCACATTTTAGAAAGCAAGGGAAATTATAAATTAGAGGAAAATTGTCAGATTTGTGCCTCAATTCAATAAGTAATTATTGAGCTTTTTCTAATGATATTATGTATTGACCTGAATTTATGTCAATGTTCAAAATAAACTAGTTATGGTTTTCATGAAATTAATAGCCCCAATAGGAAGATAGAGATTAACACAGTAACCATCCGAATATAAATTTATAAGTCTTTGATAAATAAAGTAAAGGGAACTATTAAAGAGTGGTGTGGAGGCCCCTGATGTATTTCTTTTGTTTTTTTAATGTTTGTGGGGATATTTTGTTAGCAATTTGACATTTTTAAAAATAAGTATTAAGGAATTTGTATTTAATGTAGTTTTATTTATTTTATAAATAATAATCCATACTTTTATTTTCTTTCAGAGGAAATATTCAAGAACATCTCTGTGAATTATAAATATGACAAAAATAATAAATCATTTACAGCAGACCTGAATGTTACAGATGATGTGTTGTGTGACCTTAAAGATTGTAAATCAAAGTTGCAAGGTCTACGGGGATGTCACAATGATATTTTTAATCTATCACATACTTCATGTACTACTCCTTTTAAAGTGATAAAATTAGAAGTACCACCAGGTAAATATCAATTTATTTCTATTTGTATATTTATAAACACAGCATAGTTTGCATGTGTGTTCTAGTGGTCCCGGGAACTAGTCTGATGAGAGAACAGGGCTGAAGGAATTCAATTAGACAGTGAATGAATTGTATGTTCCCCTAATCCAGGAAAAATGATGAAGTCATACAAGCCTTCTCTTCATGTCTTGGGCCACCCCTTCTACTTCTTTTACAAAGAGGTCATGTAACTTAAATATGATTTATTCCACTGCCTGATTTTATATGTTTTCTCTTCTCTTATTTAATTCAAGTTATTATATATGCACATATATTTTATACATATACATATTTAAGTTAAGGATTTGATGTGTATGGAAAGAACCAAAATAATTTCACAGTAGAGTTTCATTATGTTAGGACATCAAGCTGATTTTGTGAACTACACCACTGCTGGGAAAGAGAAATGACCTCAGGTGTCAAGCAGACTCCAGTGAAGTATTTCTTAGCAAAATATATATGGAAGAGTGATTGAAAGCCCAGACAGTTACTTAAAAATTCTCATGTCATTTAGTAAAGTGAAGATTATTGAGCAATTTATTAACATTTGAATATGTTATAATCTGATGTTTTTAAAAAATCCACTTAATTCATTCGTTTTCCCAAAACTACTGAAATAAAAAAATCAGTTGAATGCAGAAAATGACAATATTTAAAAATGCCTTCCTGACGGAAAACTTCAATATTTTGTGCAATAATAGTCATAATAAAAGTCAAAGAGTTCACAGAAAAATGAACATACAAATAAGAAAGCAAATGAAATATTTAAAAATATGCAAAACTGCAATTTTATCTCGACATTTTCAAGCTTTATTTTTAAACATAGCATAAATTCTAAATGAAACCCTACTGAAGTGTATGGTGTTCAAAAAATAATAAATACTATTTTTCATAAAGAATGATAAAAGTTTGAAGTGATAGATATAACTACCCTTACATTATCATTACACAACACATACATGTATCAAAACATCACATTGTACATCACAAATTAGTAAAATTATGTGTTAATTAAAAATAAAGGCAAACCATTAATAATAGTAATAATAATAATAATAATAATAATAATAATAATCAGGAAGCACCAAACCGTGAAGGTCATCAGGCTTTTTCAAAAGCCATACATATGCTTATCAAATCTTGACATGAATATAATTTTAGAGACTTTAGTTGGGAAATAATACAGATTGTAAAGTGTTAATCAGATCTATTTTTGTATCTTCTTGATAGATCCTGAAATGTTTGAGTTAGATGATTGCACACCAAAAGAAGCAGCAAATACTTCGATTTGTTTAAAATGGAGAGGAAAACCTGCTTGTGGTGAAGAGAAATTTAGATACGAATATCAATGTGGTAAGACTATAACATTGATCAGATAATTTTTTTAATGCTACAAAGTTTTTCTAGATACTGGTTAATTCTTTTTCTCCCCCTCCCCTGCGTATCTCTTGCCTTTTATTTATTTATTTACTTGGTTTATGAGATGTTTGAAGTCAAACAACTGTATTATTTATACTGCTCAATTTCACAAAATGGAGACTCACCCTGTAAGATCCATACTGACAAAGTAAAAGTTTATTAACTTAAATATTTTTCTTGGCAATTGCTATATACAAGGCATTGTTGACACGATTATACCCTGATAGAAAGGAAAAACTGATAGGGGATTGTAAGATTCAAGAGTTTACTGTGTCAAATTCCATCAAGAAAGTTCACACAGAAGGTCAAGAATACTTAATGATAATAATAGTTGTTATTATTATTGGAAAATAATTATAATGGCAAAACAGCAACTGCTTCTAGGCCCTTGGCATAAAGACCCCTGCCAAGCCATATTTGGTAAGACGGACAGATATGCACACACCCCCTCACACACACATGTGCACACAGAGGATGGTGTGCAGCATCTGCTGTCATCATGTTAAGGGAAAGGTGCCTGCTACAGTGTAAGCAGTGTGAGCACAGCCAGAGCAAACATGTGACAGATGGACAATTAAAAAACTGTCTGTCCAGGCAAAGGCTAACTAAGGTGCAATCTCCGTTCGGAACAGAGAATGCTGAGGCAAGGCTTCCTTCCATCATTAAATGAGGGATACTCTCAAATGAAGTTACTCTTGCTAAGTGTTTCCTTAAAAATGGAGTGTAGCAAAACCATTTTCAGGACCTTTGACTTACTATTTCAATCATTTGCATTGGTTTCCTAGCTAATTAATATATTATAGTCCCATAAATATGGTTTAAAAAAGAAAGTTAGATGTGATATATTTATGTACTCATATACAATAATTATTTCTTTCAGATAATTTGACATCTTCTGGGAAAGAAGCAATATTTGTAGACCTTTCTCCGAAAAAAAACTATAGTTGTATATCAAAAGTGTTCTATAATAACCAATCATATACTAATGACAGTAGATTTATTGAAACAGATTTTGGAAGTGAGTATGTTACTTATATTTATATGTAAAATTGCTTTCCCTTTTATGTTCTTATACAGAAAATAATGGAATTTTAGAGAACAATTTTTTATCACTTTTTAAAGTTGAACTTGAAAATAAATTACACAAGGCCCTAACTTCTGTCAGTTTATTTACTTGTTTATTTTTTCTGTTTAAAGCTGTAATAAGATCATATTGGAAACAGAACTGAAATAAGTAAAATGTTTTGTTTTCTCACTTGTCATTTCATTTTCCCTTCTTTTAATAGCACAGTTCTCTGTTTTGTATATTTCTGTACCTTCTGCCCCTCTGTCAAAGCCTGCCTCTATGACAGAAGTAAAATGAGCAAAGAAACTCACAAAGCACAGTAGTATATCTAAGTATCGATTGCAAAATAGTTATTATTGTTATCAAAGAACTGGCAATATAAGTCATAAGAAGATAATAATTCTTAATTAATAACTGAAGCGTGAGATTATGAAAATTAATAGCATTTAGGAGAATGGGTGAAAAGTGTTAAAATTTACACATTTATTTAGAACTATAAAGAATCCAATTAAATTCAGAATTTTCTAGAAAAATGCATTTATTATTTGTCTAACAGTTTATGAGTAACCACCATAAGGAAAGTAAAAGAGATGGGACTGCCAACAAGCAGTAGAAGAGAATTATGGAATGAAGAGTTCTATGTGTCACAGAAGGAAGGGTGATATGGAGGAGCAAGAGGAGGAGGGGGAGGAAGAGCAAAAGAGGAGGAGGAAGAGCAAAAGAGGAGAAGGAAGAGCAGAAAGAGGCAGAGAACACAAGTAGAAAACCACAGGGAAGATAAATGTCACAATAGATCAAAAGTTACAATAAAAAATGAGTGCTTTGCACAGATACTCAGATTTGAGTAAAGACCAATTTGGGGGAAATTCTGTAGCATTAAAAATGTTAAAGTGATTTTATTGGAATTTTTTCACTTTGGTATATGTTGAATGAAAGTCAATAAAAAGTGCCTATGAAACAAATGCAAAGATAACAAGGTTTAGAGTACATATTATTGAACAAGGGAACAAACAAAAACAGTAGGAATTCATTAATAAGTGTGAGTCCTGGCTTTTGAAAAGAATAATAAAATAGCTAATGTCCAGCAGAACAATCCTTCCTCCATGAATTGAATAAAACAATAAGAGTAAAAAGTATCATAGAAATTCTTTTTTTAATGTAAGAAATTCTGTAAGTTAGAAAACAACCTTGTATCCAATTTGAAAAGTTAGATAAAATGTATAATTTTCTAAAGGCTCTGATACATGAACATTTACTAGAAAGAATTAGGAAATTAGAATTAAAACTATACCAACTTATCTCTCTACTCACCTGTTTTCTTAATGGTCTGTTTAAAAAAAGAAAGAAAAGAAATGGTTGCTTTATAGGGGATGAGTATGTAGCTCAGTAGTATGTTTAGCATGTACATGTTTAGCATGTACAAAGTTCTATATTTAATTCACAACATCTGGAAAAATAAATAAAAATAAAAAGGTAGCTTTACCAACAAGATCATCAAATATTCAAAAAACAGATAATTTTTATTCAAATACTCCACAGTATAGGGGAGGCATGGGAATGTCTCAATACCCTTTGATTATTCTTAGGATTTGGAATAGGCTTAGGATTAATGTAATGTGGGTATGAAACCTGGCCAGAGCTTAGACAACTGCAGGTCTGAATTTCCTTATTTCCTATGAAAATAGGAACTAAATAGTTAGTGGGCAATTAGCAAAATGGATTAAAAATAATATGACATTATTAAGAGTTATCCCAGTAATACGGAAATATATATATATATATATATATATATATATATATATATAGAGAGAGAGAGAGAGAGAGAGAGAGAGAGATACATATATATATATATACACACATACATATATGTATATACTTATATATTATAGAATATATATTACAATAATATGTATTATATGTTATATAATATATTATATATTCTATAAGTATATGTAAAATATATATATTTCTGTATTACTGATGTGTGTGTGTGTGTGTGTGTGTGTGTGTGTATACATGGTTTGTGGTGAGTGTTCAACTTCATTCTTTTTGCATGTGACCATCTAGTTGCCCTATCTGGTTGCCCAATTGCTGAAATATCTTCTTTCTCCTATTGGATAGTCTTGCTATTTTTGTCAAAACTTTGGTGAACATAATGACAAGTGTTTTTCTTGACTCTTAGTTCTATTCATTGGTTTATATATCTATCTTTATACCAGTACTAGACACTTACTATTGCTTTGTGATAAGTTTTTGAAACCAGAAAGTAGGAGTCATTCAAATTCATTCTTCTTTCCCAAGATTGTTTAGAATATATGGCAGCCCTTGAACTTCCAGATGAATTTTAGGATCAACTAACAGTCTTTACAAATAATCTTCCTGAAATTCTGACAATTGTGCTAAATCTAGACCAATTTGGGCCATATGGGTACATGACATGTTAGTCTTCTAGTCCATAAACTGATGTAGAGTGTCTTTCCCTTCATTTAGGTCTTTTAAAATTTATATCCAAAATGTTTTGTAGTCTGCAGATTTTGTATTTTTGTTGAATTTATTCCTAATTTAAGTCTTTTCCTGTTTATAATAGTATTGTTTTTTAAAATTTCATTTTCTGGGTATTCATTGATAATATATAGAAATAAAATAGATTTTACTCTATTAATTTTTCAATATGCCACTTTGCTAAACTTATTTATTAATTGTAATATTTTCAAGATTTTTGATGGAACCTACTAAATTGATTCTAAATTCTGTATGGAAGCAATGGCTAAGGACTAATGGCTGAGGAAGCAATGGCTTAAATCCAGCTCTCCCTATAATCTCCCAAAATAATATAAACTACAGGAAGAGCAAATAAAACTACATAAAAACTATACCCTTAGCATTCTAGGAAAATGTAATACTTTTACATATTAAGAACTAAAATCGTTAGTCTTTATAAATCATTGTATTAAAATAGGAATCTTAGAAAATTATATTTATATTTAAGAAAAGGGCATAAGTATTTCTGTTGTGAAAAGAGTATCATTATAGAAAAAAAAGAACATTAACCTTTATCTCTGAACTAGCACAAAAATTCACTCAAAATGGTCTGTAGATCTAAAAGCTTAAACTATAAAAAATCTGACTAAAGACATAGGAGTATATCTTTTTGTCTTTAGTCTAGGCAAAGCTTTCCAAGGATTAAAAAAAATCAAGAATCATTAAAAAAATTGATAAACTTAGCTTCATCAAAATTGAACATTTCTCCCCTTTGAATGAAGAGATTAAAGGAAATAAAAAATCAAGCCATACATTGTAAGGAAGTATCTACAATTGATGTTTTTCAACAAAGGAAGATTTTTTTTCAGAATGTATAGAGAGTTCTTTGAGCTATGAAATATGACATCAAATAGGACAGTTAAAAATGGGCAAACAGCCAGCCACCATGGCACATGCCTGTAATCCCAGAGGCTTGGGAGGCTGAGAAAAGAGGATTGTGAGTTCAAAGCCCAACTCAGCAACTTAGTGAGGCCCTAAGCAATTTCAGTGAAGCCCTGTCTCTAAACAAAATATAAAAGGGGCTGAGGGTGTGTCTCAGTGGTTTAGTGTCCCTGAGTTCAATCCCGGTACCAAAAAACAAAAGAAAAGAAAAAGAAAAAAGAAAAGCAAATGTTTTAAACATACACTTGGCGAAAAAAAAAATACAAAATTGCCTAATACACACGTAAAACAATGATCAAAATCATTAACCATCTGCAAAATGCAAATCGAAGCAATAAGGTGAATATGATAGTTTACATCCACTAAAATTAAAAATACTGGCAATAGTAACTATTGATGAGGATGTGAAGTAATAATGACCCTTCAACATCACTTTAGATATTTACCAAAGAGGGAAAAATATATCTGCAGAACAAAGCAGATTCATTCAGAGTAGCCCAAAATCTAAAAATAACTCAAATATCATCTACTGCTGAATTATAGATAAATGTGACATACCTTTACAATGATATAAATACTGCTTGTATTAGTCACCTTTTCATCCTATAAGGAAATATTAATGTATCAATAGAAAAGGTTTATTTAGATGATGATTCTGGAAGTTCTTTTCCAAGATTGGGTGACCCCAGGCTTTGGGCCTCTAGTGGGGACACTGGATGGCAATCATGGGGAGTGCATCCTTGAGCAAACTGCTCACCTTGTGCGCCAGGAAGCAAAAAGAGAAGACGAAGAGACTGGGGTTCCTCAATTCCATTCAAGGGTATGCCTTCAATGACTTAAGAACCTCCTATTAGATTCTATCTCCTAAAGGTTCCACCACTTCCCAGGAGCACACTTTAGGAACTAACCTTTAACGCATGGTCATGGAGGACATTCATTATCTGAACCATAGCATGACCAATGAGTGAAAAAGAAATCAGTAGCCACTGACATATGCACCAACAAGAGTAAGCCTCCAGAACGTTATGTTACATGAAATATGTGGGATGTAAAATATTACTTACTGTTTAATTTTATTTGTAAGAAATTGATAATAAGACACATTTAATATATAGTAACAGAAAGCAGATCAGAAGGTGAGTAGGCTGGGCAGTGGAGCTGGGTTGACTGAGAAGAGGCACAAAAGAACTTTTTGAGATGATAGAAGTACTCTACATCTTGATGATGGTGTGGGTTATATGGATGTATACATTCATTGTAATTTGTCAAGCTGTATCTCAAGTGGATGCATTTCAACATAAATTATGCCTCAGAAATTTCATTTAAACATCTATAACATTCTTTATCTCAGGTTTTAATAACTAGTTACTGGAAGCAATGAGTGCTACTCAAATACTTACTGTTAAATTTATCAGTGCTAAAAAGTTGATATTCTTGACACAGCGAGTTCTAGAAATTTCAAGGTATCTTGACAATGACATGTATGAGAGCAAAAGGGCATTCTTGGGTATCCATTCAGGTCAATGGAATGCTTAAGCTTCACAAGGCCACCTTGAAGAGACACTTAGCCTATTCATTAATTCTAAAGCAAATTTAATAAACTCCAATTTTGTTCTTTAAATTTCATTGCTAATTCACAATTAAATGTGGCTATTAATATTGCACAGTGGTTATATAAAGAATGATTGTTCTGTGTCTCATTTTTCATATTACCTATTCTTATTCTTTAAACAGTTCCAGAAATGCCTCAGAATCTTTCTTGCCGTGGTGAAAGTGAGAACAAAGGAGTAATTAGTTGGAAATCCCCAGAAAGTGGGTTCACTCCCAGTGGATTTGTTCTTTGTCATGAGTCCAATTCAGGTAATTTATATAGAATTAAATTCTATGTCAAGAAAGAGAAATCAAGAATTTAAAAGTATTAGACGTATGAAGAGAGCCAGTGAACCATAGAGCATCCAGCATAGAGACTGTGAGAGTATCCTATTTGCCTTGATTTTTAGAATTGCTTCCATTCTGAACACAGAACATCTCCAATATTGGCTTATTTTTCATGATGTGTCTTTGTTCCAATCTTTGCACTCCAAAGCTTGGATGAAGAAAATCTCTAACAGACATCACTTATATCTGTCTTGTAAATGTTATGTAATTGATTCATACTATTTCAAAATCATTATTCAAGTCCCTAAACAAGCCAACCAAAAGCAAACACCTTCCAAAACTTACTCCAGTGGCTATACACAAAATATTGTCTGTCCATCTATAAAGCTGGTGTGGGATTGGAAGGGATAGAAGAGGAAGTTGGACAAGATCATGTGTGCCCTTTTCTCCAAAACTGTACTAGTAGCTAAATCCAGCCTTCACTCTAGAACATGCACTACCTTTGCCTAAAGC